GTGTTTTAGCACATTAATAATAATCTCTTTCTTTCTTTCTTTCTTTCTTTCTTTCTTTCTTTCTTTCTTTCTTTCTTTCTTTCTTTCTTTCTTTCTTTCTTTCTTCCTAAGACAGGGTTTCTGGATATAGTCCTGACGGCCCTGGAACTTGATTTGTAGACCAGGCTGGCCAAAACCTCACAGAGATCCATCTTCCTCTGTATCCTGAGTGCTGGGATTAAAGGCCTACACCACCCTGACCAGCTGAGCAATAGTTATCTAACTAAGGCATATGGTATACATATGAATATGCACATTTGCACATATACAAGTATTCACGCTTACACAGCAAGCACTTTCCTGACTGAGTCGTGCCCAGGCCATCTTTCTTGTGTCTTTGGAAACTTGTGCTCACTCTGAAGGACTGAAAGAAGTAATTCCCCTGTCCAAAGCACAGAAACAACTAGAATAAGTCATGGTTTCTTCTGGAAGAACACTGTCTTTCATTCTGTTTATCTGCTCATCCAACCATTCATGCCAGCATGGACTCATGTTACTTCTCAATTCTATTATAATCCAGTAGGGTGTTATTTAGTTTGTGGTTCAAATTGTTGGATATTGACCATTAGGAGCTCATTTAGGCTCCCTTGTGCCAATTCTCAAAAACATTATTTACATGTGTCCATTATTGTACTTGTGTGTTTTTTTGTGCTTCTATTCATGTTTATGTGTAAGTGCACAGGTGTCATGGTTTGTGTGTGTGTGTGTGTGTGTGTGTGTGTGTGTGTGTGTACATCAAAGGACAATTTGCAGAAGTTAGTTCACTTCTCCCACTATGTGGGTTCTGGGATTTGAACCCAGGTCAGCAGGCTTAGCAGCAAGCACCTTTAATCATTGAGCTATCTCAACTGCCTCCCACCCTACTGTTTGAGACAAGGTCTGTTATTGAACCTGGAGCTCCCATGGCATTGGTGGAGCCACCACACTCAGCTCTTTACAGCGTCCTGGGGATCTGAACTCACATCCTTAGGCTTGCAAAATGAGCACTTGTCCACTGAGCCATCTCCTTAATCACTACATTTGTGTGTGTGTGGGAGGCAGTGATTAACCTCAGAGCTTTGTATGTGCTAAGAAACACTCTACTACTGTGTTAGTGAGCTAGTGACAAAACCCAGATAAGAAGCAGCTTTCTGCTTATGATGTGGGAGTGTCATATATCAATCTGTTGATTTCATTGGCTGAGCAATAAAGAAACTGCTTGGCCCTCATAGGTTAAAGCATTGGTGGGAGGAATAAACAGAATAGAATTCTGGGCAGAAGAGGAAGTGAGGTCAGACTCTGCTCTGCTTCCGGACAGACGCCATGCTCAGCTCTCCTGGGTAGACTCGACAGCTCTGCGCTGGAGCAGAGACACCAGGATGGACGGAGGCTAGAATCTTCCCTGTAAGCGCACCTTGGGGTGCTTACACACATCATTAGAAATGGGCTAGTCCAGGTGCGAGAGTTAGCCTGTAAGGGCTAGAGTTCATGGGCCAAGCAGTGTTTAATTGAATACAGTTTGTGTGTTGTTATTTCGGGCATGAGCTAGCCAAGTGGCCGGGGTGTTGGGGACGCAGCCCCGCCGCTTCATATTTCAACATGCTTACAGTTTGCAGGGATACAGTCTATGAAGGTGGGGCAGGCATGGTGCAGGAACTCAACGTGGTTGATCACATCTTCAGTCAGGAAGTAGAGAGACATGAATGTCCAGCTTGCTTTCTCCTTCCCACTCTGTCTATGACCCTAGTCTATGCTGTCCACATAAAGTCAGACATAGTTAATGTAGCCTAAACACTCCCACAGAGAGAGCTTTGTTTCCATGGTAATTCTAAATCCAGTCATGATGACCATCAGGATTAGCGATCACACACAGTAAGCCTCCTGCCTCCAGGAATGATTAACACAATGCCCAACCGACAACGTCATTTGTGCTGCAAACCTCTTTCTGAGGGTAGTAGGTTGAATTGAACTTGAGAGAATCTACACACACAGCATTGTCTGGGGACAGTGGAGTTCATACACAGCCATTCCACAGTGGCCTGTGAGGCTGTGGACAATGGAGAATTCATGGTTCAGGGATAAATTCCCTACTCTACTGTGAGCTGCTGTAACTGCATTGACTCCACTGTTAAGACCTCTTTTGTATAAAGAGGGCTGGCTTGTTGGGGTTTCTATCCTGCACAGTGCCCACAGCCAGTAAGCCCCAAAGAAAATTACACAGAGAGTCTATATTAGGTTATAAACTGATTGACCCCTTGGCTCAGGCTACTTATTAACTCTTGCAACATATATTAACCCATTATTCTTATCTATGTTAGCTACATGGCTCAGAACCTTTTTCAGTGGGGCAGGTCACATCCTGCTTTTTTGGTGGTCTGGGCAGGATTGGGGAAAATGCTTCTTTCTTCCTAGAATACTCCTGTTCTCATTGTTCCACTTCTAATTCTTGTCCGGTTTTCCTGCCTATACTTTCTGCCTGGTTATCGGCCAATCAGCGTTTATTTAAAATATAATTGAGAGAATATAGAACTACCCTGCATCACTCTTTGAGCCTGCTTACTGGTGGAGGTGAGACAGACATGGGCAGGACAGGGATGCGCTCTCTGACGGGGAAGGGAGTTTGCAGCATGATGCAGTTGGTAGAACAAAATCATCACCAGCCCCTGAGGATCCGCACATGACCAAACACACTGGGATTACCCTGGCTGGCAGTCACTAAAAGCCCCAGATGGTTCCCTCATGTCCTCAGAGGTCTAGTCCAAAGTTTGCAGCAGCTAAGATGTCCAACTGTCCTCAATATGGCCCCTCAGATACGAACACTTCGGCTCAGATCTTGAACTCAGGCAGATGCAGTGTTCTGGCCAGTTGGCTGCCTACAGGAACAGAAACCTTCCTTGACCCCTGTGGTTTCTACTCCAAGCATGAGGAGGACATGCTTGGAGCCAGGAGAGGAAGCCCAGGTGACAGCTGAGCTAGGACAACAGCGCATTTGTCTCAGCATGTGACTGCTTACAAATGTCAGCTCTAACCATCTTCTGGCAATGGCACAGCCACTTCTGTACAGAAAGTGAGCACACAGGATGTCTCCAGCCATTGGTTCTTCAGAGTGGGAGGGGCTCCTAAGCTCACTCCCCCATGCAAGTGGGAAGGGGATCCATAGGTGCCAGGTTCTTGCCTAAAGGCATTTGGAACTCCTTAGAGCCAAGATAGGGGGTGAGGAGGGATGGGGGTTGGTGGGATTGGGCTAAGGAAGACAACAGTTTATAAGGTAGCAGGATCTGCTCTGAGTAGAGCATTTAGCACTCACTCTACACCATGAAGGGGATGCTGCTTCTGCTGGCCTTGCTGGTGACTGGGGAGCTGGGCTTCCAGACAAGTGAGAATGGGAACATATGTCCTTTCTGACCCTTGTTCACTCCATTTCCTTCCTTATCGATCTGTTTGCAGATCTAGGGGTCCCTGGGAGGTCACTAGCCAGGAGTCCTGCAGAAGACCCTTGAGCTTTCTGTTCAGGATTGCAACTGTTGGGACGGGTGGAATGGGGAGACTGAGGTAAGGTGGTGATGATGGACCCTCACTTGCATGTACAGCTGAAGCTAAATCATGTGTGGGATTTATGTGAAGGTCAGATGTGCAGGGAGGTACACTCATATATGCCCCTTCTGTTGGTAGTGGTCTGTCTATGGAAACTGTGTGTTGTATCTAGGAGACAGCAGCCTTTGTGTAGTCAGGACTGTGTGGAAGGCCAGTTAGGACATTTGTAGAAGTGGTAAGAAAGTAAGCTTCCATTTCTACCAGCCTAAGCTCTGTTAATGGTTTCCTTCTGTTTGCAGCGGAAGCATGCATTCCTTTCTTTGAAGCCTTTGGGGCAATGGCCATTGGAAACAAGCAAATAATGAATGCCGTTCTTACCAAGTTTGACGCTACTGATGGTGAAAGAAAAGGTTTTGAAAAAATCCAGGAATGCTACAATGAGGGAGGATTGAAAGCCAAATTCCTGGATTCCACAGTTCTGGTAACTTCCTCCCTACCCTGAGGCCCACATGCATCATATGGTGGAATTCTGTGAACAAATGATCCAAGCAGCCAGTCACATGTGTCAGGGAATAAACACCAGAGCAAGGAAACCTTGCCCATCCTAGCACCTGTCCATGCAGCATGCTGGTCCACATCCAGTCTGTCTATGCAAGGTCCTGCAGAGTGCTCCCCAATGATGGGTGACCACCGGGTTCTCACCACAGCAGGGCAGGGACACTCACAGGAGAGTCCTTGGTTGGCTTCTGCCCAGGGAGGGCACCCTCAGCTCTACTCTACTTTAAGATACCTGAAACTTCTGTCTACTGGCCAGGGTCACCTTCTCTGGAGCCTCCATTAACTCTTCTCTCCTGTCTCAGATGGAGCCCTCCTTCCACTGGCTTCCTCAGAGCCACAGCCAGAACCTCCCTCCATGGCTTAGAAGCCACCACTATTCCCACCAGAGAGTGCTTGTGGCTACTTACTGCAGCCACCCCTGGTCTCCCTTAGTCTCTTATTTAAGCCTAGCTGGATTACAGAGATGCATGTTTAGGATATTGCATCTCTGACTCTCTGTTTCCAAAGTACTTTTAGTTTGGGTTTCAGGTCCTGCAAAACCATAGCACTCTCCAAGAAGGATTTCTTCCAGCACATCCACACATGGATGTATTTCTAACATGACTACACAGCCAATGTGCTGACAGATGTCCTCAGGTATGAGACATCATCAAAATTAGAACTCAGCCATATTGACCACTCTTCACACCTAGCCCCCATCATGCCTTAGGGACCTTTTCTCTTCATCCCCGCCTGGCTAGGTTGGTTTTTCAGACTCCTCCTGTCAGCTGTGGAGGAGCTGCAGCTCCCTGGGGAAGATTCCGCTGCTGGAGCCCTGAATCACTGTAGGGAATTTTCTTCCCTGTGCAGAAGGAGGGGACTGGGGAGCCCTGCTGGGTTCTGCTCCTTGCCTATAACCACTTCTGCCCCTTTCTGTCTTTTTGTTTTCCAGAAAACCATTACCCTCAGCCCACAATGCAGGAAATACTACACCATAGATACCATAGAAAAAATTAAGGCTCTTCTTTCCAAATTTAACATCCCGGGACAACGATGACTGATCTGAGAGCCACCTTGCTGCCCTGTCCACTCTTCGTCCTGAAGTTGGAATCCAAACGCCTGACTGAAACTCCTTGTTCTGTCTTAATCTGATTCTAATAAACACCTGCAGCTCAGCTCTGGGTCCCATGTCTGTGTGTTGTGCAGGAGTCATGTGACATCTTCAGATAGTGGAGTCAGCGAGAGAAATGACTTTGGTGGGCACTCAGAGCAGAGCGACTGCCTCTGACCCGCCAGTTGATCGTGTGAAAGCCATTGCAGCCTTTTTGTTGCTATCTAGACCTGGGGAGGGGGCTCGAACTCAGAGATTCACCCAACCCTGCCTCCTAAGTGCTAGGATGAAAGGCATTTGCTCCCAGCATGTCAGGTTGACTGCAGCTTTGTGAGCTGGTAAGACAGAAATTGTCTGAGGGTAGAGAAAATGGAGCAGCCACAGGCGTCACCAGGCTGCCAGGCCTGAAATGGGGTGCAGAGCAATCTCCTCAGATGTTGCATCTGGATTCATTACAGGGCTGCTGGTTCCTTATAGGTCAGTCAGTCCACAACAGTGCTGTGACTTAGATGACTTGGGTGTGCTCATCAGACTCTCTTGGTCTGCAAGAAAGGTCACCATTTGTCATAGCCTGGTCTCCATAGCAATTTCCAGGACAGCCAGTGCTTCATAGAGAGACCCTGCCTCAAAAAAAAAAAGTTAATAATAAACCAAAAACTCGAATGGGAAAAATGATTATTTCAGTAGAAGCTCAACTAAAGAGGAGAGAAATGTCTGAGAAGAAGGTTCAATGGGTAGAGTGCTTCTGTGCCATTAGTGTCATGAGTTCAAATAACCCAGCTAGGACAGACCTGGAAGCATACGTCCATAATTCCAGTGCTCTTGTTGAGAGATGAGAGGAGTTACGTGAATGCCCAGAAGCCACAGAGACCTGTTTTAGACAAGGTACGTGAGGGGTGACACCTGAGATGATCCTTTGACCCCCATTAGCACACTGTGGTATGTGCAGGTATGTTCTCTCTCATACACTCACACACAAAACATCCAGACAACTAAATGGAGAGGAATGGCGACACACACAAACAAAAAACACGACCATTAGTGATTAGGGAAATACAAAATAATAGCACAGCTAACGAGAGTGCAAATATTGAGAAGAGCAACTGAGCAGAGCAATGCTGGTGAGCATGTGAGGAACTGGTCATATGGACAGGACAGATTGTCAGTGTGTAAGATAAACATGCACGTAGCCTTTGACCAGAGGACCGTGTGCATAGGTTTCCGTACGTGACTGCTAGCATACAGGTAGATGCGGACGTGGTTGCCTAGGAGACAGCTTAATGTGTTTTCCCACTCAATTGATGTGATGATATATAAGGTGTTTGGATAATAAAGGAGAGATCTTGCCCTTCTATGATGACCACGTAAGCTGCGTCTGATTTATTCCTCATGACTCCATTCCAGTCCAGTTAGGGAATCTGTGTTGGACCCACATGGCCTCCAACATAATGGCCTCAGCAACGTGGTGCTGACTACTGAATCCCGAGATTAAGGACAAAGTGGTGCTGACCACTGAACCCTGAGACGAATGCCGGAGGAAGAAGGGGTATGAAAAAGAACGTGGTGCTGACTGCCGAACTCCATGAGAAGCCGGAGAAAGGACAAGACGATGGAAGACCGTGAATGCTGTCCACTGAACTCCAAGAGAAACGGGAGAAAAGACAGAGGAGAACGGGAGGCTGATCCACGCTCCCCAAAAAGCAAAGAAGAGGTGACCAGACGTGAGGAACCCACGACAAGAAATCGGTGGTTGCGTGAGTAGTGAGCGCTCAGAAATAGAGATCAGAATTTAAAGAAATGTAAAAAATAAAGGATAGTAATGTCGGGAAAAAATTTATAAATAAGTTATATATGGGATAAGGAAAAAGTATTCGGTTAAATATGTTGGTAACAAGTTAGAATGGAGCAGAACAATGGCAGAGTTATTGAGAATCTGTAAGCGTGATAGACGCAGATTTGCAACTTTTATTTATTGCTAAATGAGTAAGAAAAGTAAAGAAAAAAATTACTTTTGGCCCAAGAATCACTAAGTTACCACTGAGATCGAGTAGCCATGTGCACACAGTAACCAGTTAATCCAACCCAGCTGTGGATAAAAGCCAAGCAGGAGCAAAAGTAAGTTTAGAGGGCAAATTTAACCTCACACAGTCTTTAGAACAAAGGAAAGGATTCAGAAATTCTTCTAATTTTATGATTTACAAGTTAAAATAAAAATCTGCCCACCAGAGCTCAGCAAAGCAGTCTAACAAACTGAGCCTGTGTCCTACCCTCTGCCGTGCGGCGCAGCTTCAAGTGAAAGAAAAAAAGACAGGTTTAAATTAAGGTAGCCTCTGAGATAAGCAGGTTAAAATGCTTTTCCATCTCACAATTTTGCTTCTTTGTCAAAAGTCTGCTGTTTGTAGGCAGGTGAATTCGTATCCAAGGTGGATTGATTTCAGTACTGTGGCTGTAGTAAAGTTTAAAGTCAGAGATTGTGATGCATTCAGAAGTTCCTTGATTGTGCAGGATTTTAAGATTGTTTAGGCTATCCTGAGTTTTTATCTTTTCTCATAAGGTTGAAGATTGTTTTTTCGAAGTTCTGTGAAGAATTTTGTTATAAGTTTAATGGGTATTTGCATTAAATCTATGGATTGCTTTCAGTAAGATTGTCCATTTTGCTGTGTTGGTGCTGTTTTTTACAAGAGAATAGGAGATCTTTACATTTTCTGATGGCTTAAATTTCTTTCTTTAAAGTTCTTTCTTTAAAGGTTTAAAGTTCTTATACAGGTTTTTCAATTTGTGTGATTAGAGTTACTCAAAGATATTTGTGGTATTTATGGCTATCTCACTTATGACGTGTGTAGAAGAGATACATTTGAGTTGTTTTCAGATTCCGTGTATGAAAAAGTAATTCTTTTGTGAACATGGTTGAGCACGTGTCCTTGTGGTATGGTTGAGCATCTTTTGTGTATAGGCCCAGAAAAGGTATACTTGAGTTTTGAAGTAGTTTTTTGCCTAATTTTCTGAAAATTCGACAGCAATGGAGGAGTTTCTCTTAAGCATAAGTTGTGAGCAGTGTTTTTGATCTTGGTCATTTTTGCAGGGATAAAATGGAGTTTCAGAGTTGTTTTGATTTGCATTTCTCTAATGGTTAAGGATGTTATATTTGAGCAGTTTTTGAATGTCTTCCAGTCATTTTGGGTCCATTTGTTGAGAGCTTTCATTTTAGGTCTGTAACATATATTTTTAGTGAATTAATTATTCTTTTAATGACTAATTTCCTGAGTTCTTTGTATGTTTTTGAAGTGGATTAGTGATTAGTAAAGATATTTTCCAATTCCATAGGCTATTATGTCATGTTGATTAAGTCCTTTGCTATAAAGAAGCTTCTCAGCTCAAGAGATCTTATTGTTTCTCTCAATGTGTATGCCAATGAGGCTGTGTTAGCGTTACACCAGTGCAGTTACTCCACTGCATGCATTCAAATGTTAATCCTAAATTTTTCTTAAATGAGGTTAGGTATTGTTGGTTTTATGTTGAAGTCTTAGCAAAGAGAGGAGAAGATGGATTTGGTTCGTCTGATGCATTTTGGGTACAGACAATAGGTCCTCAGAGACCAGAACTCACTTTGTTTATAAATGGAAAAAGATTTTCTGGCCTCCTGGATACTGGCGTGGATATTTCCGTCATAACCGCTAGTCAGTGGCCTTCTAAGTGGCCAAAAACGGAGACTATTACACAGTTACAAGGAATCGGTCAGACTAGAAATCCTGAACAGAGTAGCAATGAACTGCATTGGAAAGATGAGGAAGGACATGAAGGAACCTTTAAACCATATATTATTCCCCATTTACCTGTGAAATTATGGGGCAAAGATATCATGTCCAGAATGGGAGTATATTTATATTCTCCCAGCACGACTGTTACTAATTAGATGTTTCAACAAGGATTATTACCTAATCAAGGTCTAGGAAAAGATAATAAGGGAAAGATTGATCCTGTCGTATCAGACAGTAGACCTTCTAGAGCAGGATTAGGGTATTCTTAGGAGAGGTCGCTCAAAGACCTGCACTCCATGCAGACCCGATAATATGGAAAAGTGATGAGCCTGTATGAGTGAGTCAGTGGCCTCTAACACAAGAAAAATTACAAGCTGCCCAGCGGTTAGTGCAGGAACAGCTGGATAGTGGACATATTTCACCATCTAATTCTCCATGGAACTCTCCAATTTTTGTTATTAAAAAGAAATCAGGAAAGTGGAGATTAATTCAGGATTTAAGAGAGGTTAATGCAACCATGCAGCCAATGGGAGCATTGCAACCAGGGTTGCCATCTCCAGCAGTCATACCAAAAGGCACGCATAAGATTATCTTAGACTTGAAAGATTGTTTTTATACAATTCTGTTAGCACCACAAGATTGTCAAAGGTTTGTTTTTAGTATTCCTTCAGTTAATTTCAGAGAACCAATGAGGAGGTATCAGTGGAATGTTTTGCCCCAGGGTATGTTAAATGGTGCTACTTTATGCCAGAAATTTGTAGCCCAAGCTATACAGAAGGTTAGAAATCGATTTCCACAGGTTTATGCAATTCATTACGTGGACAACATCTTGCTGGCTCATAGAAATGAGGATACTTTACTAGAGACATATGGATTGTTACAGCAGAGTTAAGCCATGCAGGTTTGGTTATTGCTCCTGAGAAAATACAGAGACACCTGCCTTTTCAATATCTAGGTCATATGTTATACCTCAAAGAAATTAAGCCTCAAAAGATAGAAATCAGGAATGATGACTTAAAAATTCTTAATGACTTTCAAAAGTTGTTGGGAAATATACAATGGCTAAGACCTTATTTAAGATTTCCTACAGGAGACCTTGATCCTTTAAATGAAATACTTAAAGGAGACAGTGATCCAAATTCTAGCAGGCAGCTTTCAGAAGCTGCCAGACAGACTCTCTCACAGATA